TAGACACTCTTCATCTTTATGTTATTCATTTTTTTTTAAATAGAAAGATTCGAATTGTTATGAAGTGATTTTCTTCTCATCAACCATCGTAAATGTTTGCACTATGAGAAAAAAGAAAATAAAAGATAAAACAACTTTGAGTACTTTGTTCTAAGAAATTCAATGGGAATTATTTTATCAGATTGACATCTAATTTGTTTTTAAGTGATATCTTTCATTAAAGTTTCTATTGATGTATTGATTGAGCGTTCTGTTCAACGGACTTTAACCAAGAGGAAGACAAAGAGAGTGATTGTTCTTTTAATTGTAATATCTCGATCTCGAAATCAAGTTCTATAGATAAGAAACGATATTAATTAACCAACTAATCTTCAGTGTCCGTTGGTTATTACTGAACTTTAGTTTTCAATAATTAATTGGATAGTCTCATTTCATTGGTAAGATAAATGATGATTATATTGATAAAAACCTTGTTTTTATTTATTATTGTTATGTTTAGATGTTAAAAGTATTTGAAAAGAAAAAAAGTTCATTAATTCCATTTGTTTATCAATATTTATTATCTGTTCCTCCTGATTATGATAAGGATAATGAAAAATGATGGCTATCATTATTAGTTTTACATGATGCTGGTGATTCTCATCCACCTATTGAAAAGATTTTAAAACATGGTCCACCAAAATTAGTTCATGAATATTCAACAAGTCGGCAAGATACTCGTCCGATGAATAATCCTAATCTTGAATGTGGCTCGATTTTTAACCGAACATTTTGTAACATGTAGTCCATAGGTGAATAGAGGTTATGGATGGAATGCACAAGGATCAATTTATCTTCTAGATCAAATTGAAAAAAATTATAGAATTGATCAAAACAAAATTTATCTCAATGGAATTAGTACGGGTTAGTTGCATTTATATCATTACTTATTAACTAATTATCATTTAGGAAATCTTTGTTTTTGAGAAAAACTTCTTTACTAATTGAGATTACCAAAAAAACTAGAGAATGGATTTCAATCAAGATAATTAATCTAAAATCTATTGAGAACACTGTTTCTCTCTCGTTAAATGATGTCGATTATTGTAATTCTTATTGTCTTTTCTTGAGTAATATAGAAAAACCGAATAAGGATTGAATTGTGAAGCTTGTAATTAATATAAATAACGCAAAGGTGGTTATTGAATATGGTTACTTGTAACTGTTCAACAAAATCGTTTTGCTATGAGCATTTCAATATATGGTAGTGTTGATCGACAACAAGTCACATGTTTAAAAGATTTACTTGTTTGGAATTTTTATGGAAAATTAGATGATGTTATACCTGTTGAAGAATCGATGAAAATAATAAAGACATTAAATAGTCCAAATTGTCAATCAACAATTTGCTCAAATCTCAAACATGATTCTTGAACTGAAACATATAATAATAAAGATATTTATATATGATCACTTCAACAAATGAAATCAAATTAAAAATTTTAATACTTTTATTCGTAAGTTTTATCTGAAATTTTCATTTCAATTCTGCAAAAGATTTTACAATTTCTTTTTCTGTTCTTTAGAAATTGTGACAAACACGTCTGCAATTCCGACTCAAATATTTTATTAGTTTTTTATATAAAACTATTTCAGTGCTCTTTTTTTTCTAATCATGCAATAGCATTCTTTTCGCTTTCCATTAATTAAAATAAAGTAAAACAATTGAAAACTTTTATAAAACCAAAATTCGATATTGACAAAAAAAAAGTTGATCAAGCAGATTCAATATAAATCAATTGCTTATTTCAAATTGAGAGAATCAATTCAATGGATATTCATTGTTTCATCATTAGCAACTCTAATATCTCGAACAATGATAACGGTTGTGATATTTATTGAAAATAGAAATCATTCTTGTCTCATCCGATTTAGTGAAGCAAATAGTGTAAATAAATTGAAAGATGAAAATGAAATAAATAACTGAAATGTTCATTATGTTCAAATGTTTATGTTCAACCAAAATTTTTATCATGTTTACATACATTTTGTTTTTAATGTTGTCAAAAATTATCTAAATGAAATTCTTAAACAACTCTTCTTTCAATTCAATGTCCAACATGTTCTTTTATTACTGAGATTTATCTTTAATATATCTTTATTAATTAAATTTATTTTTAAGGTATTAAATGAAAATAATTTATTAAAAATAGGTTTAATCAAATATGGAACATGTCAATGAATGATAATCGCATAGTTCAATGTTCAATATCTATATCTTATTTATGTTACAATTGTTGTCAGATTCATCTATTTATGAAATGTTTTGAATAACATGAGGGATGTGGGTGTGGGACGTTAATGAAAGGGAGACTAACATCACACACCCACTACATATGGATAATTATAAGAAAGGAGATGCACAGTCATCAACATTGGTTGAAAATTGCATAAATATGAATCACTCGATGAATTTTGACGAAGCTAACATATTAGCATATGACTCTAACAAGAAAAAACAAGAAATTAAAGAAACACTTAACTCAAAAGTACGCGCATTGGACTTTGAATAAGATCTCATTCAATAGTAAGTCTTTTTATTGAACCTCATAATAAAATATCTTATGATTTGACGCAGAAGCGACGAATATACAACAAAATATGATTTATCGTCAAAAACTATATAAATCGTTTGAATTCTATAGAATTTTCTTTTTTTTTGCCTGATGATGTTACTTGTAAAGTAACAAAAGCTCGCAAATAAGAATTAAAAAAATGAATTTTCTTTTTGTTATCATTCTAATTTTAAAGATAATTAATGGAAGTGCACAGATATAAAGTAATTCTTCTTTAGTCATTATAAATATATAATCACATACTTCTTCACCTACACAAATAAAAATTTCTTTACAATTATTTTTTTTTTTTTACAAAAATACATACTTTGTTGTTCATACAACAGACAACGATAAAGTAGAAGACTGTGGCTCATAGGATCTACAACGATACGTTGAAACAAAGTGTTACTTGATATCGCTTTATTTAAGGCGCAGTGAAGTCCAAATGTGACCATCATACTTAAGCTGGTAGCTACTAATACATTAATTACATCTCTCATGATCTACGTTGTTGAAGAAATAATCTAAGTAATTTTTATTTATTCGAATGGGAAAATATTTACAAGGACATGGCTGAATTGAAGTTAGTCTACTTGTTTTCTTCAATCAAATGTTACTATTTACATTCTATAGAATGCGTAATTTTTTTGACGATTACAGTCATCATCGTATAATGAACATTTTGGTCGACGGTGAATGAACAATGAATTATGTGTGCCGTCATATTTATTGACGTGTGCACGGGTGTCCCCGGAGGTCACCAAGATTGAGGGAGATGGTAGGAGAGGTCGATCCTTGTTACGGAGATTGGTAAGCAGAAGCAACGAAGAAAATCGTTCAGTTTCGACGGAAAAAATGACAGTTTTCCAAGATTGGGAGATCACTTCCCCACCCCCCCCCCCCCCCCCGCTCCCTCTACTCGGGACACCCATAGCCGTGTGAGAAAATTCTTTTCCTTTTCATTCTTCGCTAAGGACACCGCACATATTGAGAAGAACGAACAAACTGTATGCATGTCATCTCCATAGATTATTATCGATTTGTTAATAATCTGAAAACAAAGTATCTCTACAACTTTGCGAAATTTCGTGTAATTCCATCAATTTGATTTCGTTGTTCTACTCTTCGAATGATTTCTATGTGGTTTTTCACTCTTCTACACACATTCATATTTTTTATCGATCGATTGAAATGCTTGAAGTTTTACAAATTAAAATCCATATATTGTTACAGATAAGTCATCGTTCCTAGATATTCTCTACAAAAAGATTTGAGCTGAAGAAATTTTTTTATTTCGATAATGCATTGATAGAAAGAATTATAAATATTATCTTTTATTGAAAGGTATGTGATTGTCTATTAGGAATAAAAAAACACGTGGAGCGTAATAATGAGTGTTTTTATGTCTCCACTTGTTTTTCTGTTTTCACTATTGTTTTCGTAATATGTATTGACAATAACAACAACAAACACATTTCTATATCGTCCTTTCTACTACCATATTTCGAGTTATTCAATAGCAATGACACGTTTTGATGATCTGAGTATTGATTTGTTAATAAAAATATTTAATTATCTTACATTTACTGAATTTTTTCATGCATTTTTTGGCCTACAAAAGCGTCTCAATGACGTCATTCAAGAGTATCCTACATGTATTAATCTATCGAAAATAATGAATTGGCTTAATATTCAACAATTTTCATTTAAATGTCGATCACTTATATTATCTGGTTCAAATTTACATTCATTTCAAATGAAATATTCTCATTTGAATTTGACATCTCTTCGTGTTGTTATATTTAAAAAAATGGATCTTGTTACATTATATTCATTTATTGAAAAATTACCTATGCAACAACTTGAATCAATTACTGTCGAATATTTTACTTGGCATTATTATCCGAAAGATGCTTATAAACAAATTTGGTCAATTATTATGAATTCTATCAATGGTAATTGTCTTCGTTATTTACATTTACCATATCATATACGATATTGGAATACAAAAGAATTTTCATACGATTTCTCAACTTTAAAATATGTTATTCTTGAATATATATCAGTTAGTCAAATGTTAACATTTATGAGTTATTGTCCTAATCTTCGTCGATTTAAAGCTTTTATTGATGCTCCACATAGAGATCTTTTTCGATATACAATTATTCTTCCCAAACTTGATCATCTTATATTAAATCTTCAAGATGAATGGACACTTGAAGAAATTCAACAACTTTTAACTATATGTCCTTATTTAAAATATTTGATTCTTAAATTGCAAACACAAAAAGAAACGAAGATTATATTTGAACCAACAACATGGCAAACATTAATCGATAATAAATTACCTTATTTGATCTTTTTACGACTTCGATTGAATTGTATTATTGCATATTCAGATACGAAACTCTATAATTTTCAAGAAACATTTAATCATGCTGAATATTGGCTTCGTCGACAACCTCATTTTCAAGTCAAAATCAACATAATTCAACAAGAAATTCTGTAATATCTTCTAATGTCGCAATTTTACTCTATTCCATTTAATAAAGTTTATTATAATTTGTTTCAAATATTTAAACGTATGATATTCTCATTCTAGTAAAAATACCTTAAGTAGTTTTATACCTAATATTTTGTTTAATATTCGATACGAACTTTATGAGTAAAATAATTATATATAAAAAAAATTTTCTTTTTGTGTCTATTTTTATTTTAAGATATTTATTTGACGAAGAAGCACGATGAGAACGTCATCGGTTATGAATGGAGAAAATGAAAAAAAAATTAATTGTTGCTATGTCAGATTTTAATTGATTAGAATCTATTTTTCATAGATCAACATTTAGTGTAATCCTCATCGTTGTCTTCGTCTTTATTCATTAGCTCAAGCAGGTCGATTACGAGAATTTTTTGTTATTGATGAAGTTTTAAATTTGTTCATGCTCGTCATTCATATTTTTCATCACTTATTCAAAGAGCTCCTTGTTATTTTATACATATTGATCGCTTTCATTTACCATCCACAAAAAAATTCTGTAAAGGAAAAACGGGGTTGAACGTGATTTTTTTTGCATCGCCTTGAACAAAAACCGTAGTATGCCTACTTGCAACCATGGTATCGAGTATTTCGGTTAGTCACGATTTTACTACGGCAGTATTTCACATTTCGATATCTATACATCTCAAATACCGCGATGAAGTTACTTAAAAATGCTTAAAACTCTTTCTTCTACTACATATCTTAAATTGAGCAAACTCTGACGATCTCGATTGAGCAAGATCGATCGTAGTTTATACAGACTGGCTCATATATGGAAAAAAATCTGACTATAATAAATTGTACATGTACATCGTGTTTTCGAAGAGTGCTCACAATTCATTGGACAAGTTCGTAATAGCTTTTTTTTTGTTGGATGCTTTTCAGACTGTCTTCGGATGAACTAGAAGACGAAAATGAAAATCTAAGACCTCTTCCAAAAAGTGGTATAAACCCCGTGGAATCAACCATATTTGTTTATTGATCTTTCAGCTACATACGCTTCCCCAATAAGTGAAAACAAAAGCAATCTTATGTTTGCGAATGAATTTGTTGCTTTACAATTCTAAAGTGCGCACGTTGAAATCAATTTTATTCTATTCTTCTCTGACAATTCAATTCAAAACATCGTTCTCAATCACCTTACTGTTAGATGCACATCAACATATTTTCGAAGGACATCCATTATTGAGAGTTGTGAATAGAAGAAACGAAACGTGGCATATTATTTACATTTTTTACTATGAGCTGCATTGATTTAATAAAATTTGTGGACAAGAAAAAGACGTATACATATTTTTTTTCCTCTATGAGATACTGAGTGACAAATTGTTTCCTCTTTTTCTCTGAGCAATACCATAAAGAGAAATTGAATAGAGCGTATTGTGTGATATGATCAAACAGAAATGTGTGCAAACATTTTCCCTTTTACAAATGAAAACTACCTACACATTGGCAAGTACTCTATTTTATAACACTAAATAAATTAGCTTCAATTTTCAGTTTAAATTTTCGACAAAGATGGAAGAAAAAACATGAATGATATACAGTACTCGATAAAAGTATTCCACCCCCTCTCTGGATCTCAGTCACAATATGAGCTGTAGAGCTGAAAACTAGTCTACACATACTTCTCAACTAATGTTGATCAGTGACACCACCCGCATCCCTATTGAATGAAGTATAAGAAAGTTATAATGCATGCGATCTTTCTCCATTGTGGATTTCATAACTCAAGAACAGAAGGACTTTATGGATCGGGATTGTTTTTATTTTGTAGCTCTGCACTTTGATTATCTATGGTAAAATTTTCATTGAGATTCAATGAGTTGTTGAGGAACTAGAACCATTTTACTGTAAGTATCGATATATGGCAAAACCGACCTATCCCATTGTGTACTTCATAAATCAGTGAAAGTTTGATAGATCGACTTCAAACTTGCAGGAAAGGTGATTCCACAGGCTCTTATTGTTCTCTGAAAGTTTCAGACTTATATCAGATACTAGGGAGAAATGGCGCTATGCTCAAGTTCCTGATGTTGTCATAGGCCTAGCTAATCGAGTACCCAAGCAATTGATCTCATCTTTTGGATACATAACTAACACATAAGGGAGCACAATTCTACCAAAAAAAAGTTAGAAAATTCACCAGATATCATGGAAAACAAGACAAACTTTTTATAGTCAATTTTTTTCTCACCGTCACGTCTTCAAGATAACAGTGTCAAAAAGAACTTGTGAGGATACTATATTCGTTATACAGAAGAATTAAAAAATATTTATCTATCTAATTCAACTCTCTCAAGGGTCTTCTGATAGTTTTCATCATGATGGTGAATCATAGTATGTATGAGAGTAAGAATATGGGTGAAAATTGGTATGTGATTGTGAAAGGGATATGAATCCTCACTTTCACTCCCTATCTTCTTCAGCTCTGTCAGAATGAGAGAAAAATTGAATATGAAAAGTTTATGTCTCATTTTCCATGATATCTAGTGAATTTTCTAACTTTTTTTTTGGTAGAATTTTGTTTCCTGATGTGTTAGTTATGTACACAAAAGATGAGATCAATTGCTTGGGTACTCGATTAGCTAGGCCTATGACAACATCAGGAACTTGAGCATAGTGCCATTTCTCTCTAGTATGTGATATAAGTCTGAAAGTTTCAGAGAACAATAAGAGCTTGTGGAACCATCTTTCCTACAAGTTTGAAGTCGATCTATCAAACTTTCACTGATTTATGAAGTACACAATGGAATAGGTCGGTTTCACCATATATCGATACTTACAGTAAAATGGTTCTAGTTCCGCGACGACTCATTGAATCTCAATGAAAATTTTACCATAGATAGTCAAAGTGTAGAGCTACAAAATAAAAACAACCCCGATCCATAAAGTCTTTCTGTTCTTGAATTATGAAGTCCACAATGGAGACAGATCGCATGCATTGTAACTTTCTTATACTTCATTCAATCGGGATGCGGGTGGTGTCACTGATCAATATTCGTTGAGAAGTATGTGTACACTAGTTTTCAGCTCTACAGCTCATATTGTGACTGAGATCCAAAGAGGGGGGGGGGGATACTTTTGTCGGGTACTGTAATGCATTGTTTTATTTAGGTGACTGACAAATAATCAAGCATTACTCATCTATAATTATTGAATAACATGATAATTCAAATTTTATTCCTGGTCTGTATGATATGCACAATCGACAGTACGAATAATATTATTGATAAACTTCGTATTGAACTTGAATTGAGCAAGACAGCGGAGAAGGATCCTATTATTCCTTTCCTATGTAAGTTACTACCATCACAAGAATTTACCAAAGAAGCTGATGATGAAGACCTCCTTAGTTCGTTACTTTATGAGCTTGGTTTTGGAGTATTGGTTGTAAAGCCTAACTCTTGGGCAGCCAAGTTTCGAGGTGACCTTCATAAACCAGCATCCTGTTTTTCTGCTCTACATTCAACAGCAGCGATCGATGTAACAAAGTCGACTTTGGCTAGTTCAAGGAGAATTATATCGAGATGCTGCAATTCTAACCAGGACTTATAACTATGTTGTATCTTGATGGTTTTAAACGTTGTGATAATCTTTTTCTCACGAGATATTTTCTAATCCAATAGATTAACGAAACGAAACAAAAAAAAATATTTTCAATACTTCAGAAGGACTCTGTATGTGAAAATGAAATACAAAATAAACTTATAAAAAGTAATCAGAGTTTAATGCTGATTCTTAGACTTATAAAATTAAGATTCAGAATTTTTAGAATGTTAAGTTAGCAATTTGATATATCTTCCTTTTTCGAAGATCAATGTTCTTCGAAAAAAATGAAATAAATCATGTTCACAAAATAGATAATTTAATCAAACAAGATAAATATTATTTATTCACTAGTTTTTCATATAACATTTGAGATGTATTTATTTTGAATCAAAATCAACAAGTGACGGATTTTGAGGAGACAACTAAAAAATATGATTCAAAATATGAACCAGTAGTTTTTAGTATTCTCGATCAAATTTTTTTTTTTACTTTTTGCAAAATGAAAAACAATTCGAGCTCAAAATTCTATCAAATTATCTCATATATGAAAATCATCAATTATTAAAACATATATTGATTTATTTTTAAATGTCTAAAAATCTGATTTAAGATCAAATTAATTAAAGAGGTATTATCAATGACACATAGCTATCATATATGATACATAAAGAAAACTAACGAATTAAAATAATTATAACTCGTATTATTTAAAAAAAAAATTTCTTTTTTCATTTTTCTACATTTGAGATAAATTTGTTACTATGAAACGAATCGTTATCCTGTCTAAATTCGAAGGTAATATATGAAAATTTAAAATAATATTTATATAAATAAATGATATTAGATATTTCATATTGAATAATTTAAAATCTTTAATGAAAATGAAGATAATCATCTGTTAAGAAGGATTTAATCTTTTTGTAAAAAACATGAAATATTATCTAAAAGTGTTACTTATTAAAGTATGTCAAAGTATTTTCGTTTTTGATTTGAATTCGATAACTTCGATAAGTTACATTTGTAGATGAACTGGATTTTAACATGAGTGACAATGTTACTTGAGTTGAAATAATTATTAATTACGAAAAAAAAATATCTGACTTTATTTTTCTTCTGTTTCAAATATAGATATTTAACAAAGAATCGTTCTTTATTTATTTTTTACATGTCGTTGTCGCAGTCGATTCAAACACTTTTCTTTATCATCTGCGGTCAAAATGTCGCTATTATTGCCCATATGAAGGAGAGAACACCGAATATTGCAGATATCATCGCAATTATGTCCGAACGTGTCCAAACAGGTGTTGTTTGTGTTTGACCTTGCTGAGAAAAAACAAATATTTAATACACATAAATAAGTGAAAAAAAAGTTGAAATGTGTAGCAACACATACGATTAAATGTTTATCATAAGATATTACTTAATAGAACTGATTAAATACTTTAAAATTATATTTTCTAAATGTCAATCACTTGTTTAAACTCAACTAGATTTAATAAAATTAATCTTCAAAAGATTCTTTGCTTGTTTTCCCAAACTATATTTTAAAACAAAATACAAAAAAAAAGAAATTACCTTTTGAATAATTTAATATAAAACATCCATGTTCGACTGGAATGTTATCTATTTCGTATAAATAGATTCTTTCACCACGTTTCGATTGACTATAGAAAATATTAAAAATCAATTTATAAAATTGATTTATTCAGCAAGTTCAATTCATTTTAAATTTATTCAAAAGACTTACGCAACTTTTTCATTTTGTTTATCAAGACCAAATATTCCAATGGCATTTGGATCGATAGCTCGAAGATCATCGATTAACACATATGGTAAATAATAATAAAAATAAAATTGATAATATAATTTAACTTTGGTGAATTTATCAGTATTATCACTATCATAGACTCTAATATAATTCATTTTACCTTCTTGTCAGGAAAATAAACAAGGAGATATATGAATATTTTAATCAGAGCTTTTATTTAAAGTCAATAATTAAGAACACCAAATAATTATTTCTGATGCCTAGAAGAACTTTGGAGTTGTGTGATCGATTAGAATATTAGGTTTGTTTTCTTTGACTAGAATTCATTTGAAAATAAAAAGACGATCAGAATAAATATCTATTCTTGATAACCAATGAAATACTGTTCTTTAGCATCTACTATAAAACTCTATCTCCCAACATTTATGTAGGGCGCCATCTTCAGTTTCATTTCATCAATCAAAAAAGTATTTTTAAATAATATTATTTCAAATATACTTCATAACATTGATTGTACATTAAATTTCTGTTGAAGAAGTTTCTAATCATAAGAATTATTTCGATATTCTCACTTATTTCATGCGATTTATTTAAATAATTTTGTATTGCATCTGATGATAAAGGCATAAAGTCAACTTACAATTTATATTCAATTGAACAGTTTTTATAACAATCGTTTTAATAAACTATTCTTTTCTAAGATTAATATCTTTCTGTGGAGAATAACAGATTTAATTCGCAAATTCTAAACATTTAATAGCAATTTGTCTTTATATCTAATTGACACAATAAAAATTGATGTTAAACAAAAGAAAAATTTAAATAGACAATTATTTTTTTTTCATTACATCCATGAATCCATATTAAATAAAAATGTTTCATCATCATCATCATTAACATTAGTTTAAGTCATTTTCAATCTCAATGGAAAATTCATATCATTGGTGCTATTAATGAAGAAATTTTGTGTAAATATTCATTGAACTTTGGAAGAAAATTTCTATTTTTATTTTAATATGTATGTTTAATAAGTCTATTCCAGTTAAAATTATTAAATAAAGAGCACAAATTGATCGACATTCACATTTATCAACAATCGTTCGATCAACTTTTCAAAATAAAATTTATTTCTTGAATTATTCACTAAACAAATGCTCGTCAAGATAATCATTCAAAGAGTTCTTCTAATTCTTTATCAAGATTATTTTACAATTATCTTACCAGAAATTTCATATGAAATGATTCAATTTCCTAAGTTCTTGAGAATGAGGATGTGAGTATGGATGTAAATGTATCACATTTATTTTCACCCCCACACCTGCAAAGCACATGTATTTAGACTTTCTCTCTTTCAACAAAATGTTTGCAAAAATCAATATGATTTTTTTTAAAACAAACTTCATTTCTTCTTAAAAACTTCGTAGTGAGATACTTTATCTCAAATATAAACATTTTTCACGTTTATCTTTTTGATATTTATTTCTCATTATTAAAACTCATTATCTCTAATCTTTTTGAATATAATTGTAATTAAAAACAAAGTGACAACTCAAGAAGTTTGATTTTTCATGTTTTTCCTCTCGAGTAATATTTTCAAGTTGAAGTTAATGTAATCTACTTATTGTTAA